TATATATATATATATATATATATATATATATATATATATATATATATATATATATATTTGTTATATACTGTATATACTAATAACAATAAATATTTCAATTAAAAATTGTATCTTTTATACTAAATATTTTTCTTGTTGCTTTAAATATTTTAATAAATAATAAAATATTATGCCTAAACCACTTAAACATAAAACACAGCTATTAAAACAATTAAAGTAATAATATAAAATAATTTTGGTATAATCAATTTTAGTTACAAATTTCTTAATTTTATATTGTATACATTATCAAATATATAATCAGTCTCTCTCTTTCTCTCTCTATATAAATACATTTAAATTTTTTAAATATTTTAAGGAATAATACAATTTCAGCCTTTTAATGAGACATGTGACTTTGTGATGATGTTTAATACATTGTGTTACTTTGTAATTATTTGTGAAATTTAGCAATTATTTAAAAAATAGTTTCTTCTACAATTTTTTTTCAGTATGATGTCACAATAAGGCACTGCTCTGTAATTACAACTTGATCAACACAGTGATGTCACAATCAAGCATTGAATATCAAATATTGTCAGTGGAAAATGCTGAAACAACAGCAGTACGTAATAGAAAAAATGTGCAGTGCTGTGGGAGTTTCTTATTTTTTGCAACTGTGTTGAGATGAATTAAAACTTTTCTTTTCATTATTTTTACTTTATAGTCCACCAAGATAAAGAAGGGAAGCAAAGGAGACATTAGCGTCCTGCGGCCCACTTTAATGGCAGCAGTACCAGTAAGGCTGAATCTCTCTCTCTGTTTCTCTCTGGGCTTTTGGGGTTGAATGTCAGCGAATGTGATTGTCTGGAATGATTTACAGCTGTAAACAGAACGTGAGAAAGCCCGGTGATGTCACAATCAAGCATTGAATATCAAATATTGTCAGTGGAAAATGCTGAAACAACAGCAGTACGTAATAGAAAAAATGTGCAGTGCTGTGGGAGTTTCTTATTTTTTGCAACTGTGTTGAGATGAATTAAAACTTTTCTTTTCATTATTTTTACTTTATAGTCCACCAAGATAAAGAAGGGAAGCAAAGGAGACATTAGCGTCCTGCGGCCCACTTTAATGGCAGCAGTACCAGTAAGGCTGAATCTCTCTCTCTGTTTCTCTCTGGGCTTTTGGGGTTGAATGTCAGCGAATGTGATTGTCTGGAATGATTTACAGTTGTAAACCGAACGTGAGAAAGCCAGAAGTGGATATCCTTCTGTATCCAGAAGTGGATATCCTTCTGACACACACACGAGTAGTGACTCACACACTGTAGATACACAATTAATAATGTTTAATCACACACACACACACACATTGTAATGGTTCCATAAAACTTCCATAAACACAGCGGCTGAGAGCAGTGGGAGAACATCCGAATCATAAGGGAGCTTTGGAAAAAAAACTCAGAAAGCGCTTCTCCACCCTCCCGTTGTCACATGAGATGTGATTAAATGTGAAGTGGAAAAATGTCAGCAGTAACTCAATTAGAATCAAATCTGTAATCCACTTCCCTTACAAAACAATACTGTGGTGATACCAGATGGTAATGCAGCGGCGCTTTATGTGCCGTTGTGCTGAACGATTACCATATTCATGGTGCTTCAAGGTTTTTCAGAGACTTTTTTTGTGTTTTCTTTTTTCTCTCTCTGGGAGAAGAGGACATTGCTCTGTGCCCACGTGAAGTCAAGGGGTCGTTTTTGTGATGTCATTTCCTGTTTGCCTCATGCATGTCGATTGTATGTCAGTGACTTTGATTTGGTGGATATATACAGTATATATGTATATATCCACCAAATCAAAGTCACTGACATATATATATTTATTTATTTAATATAAAATACATTTAGATATTATTAAAAATAGTCTAAAATGAAATTAATTATTACAATTAAATTAAACCATTAAAATGGAATCCAGAAAAAATTTAAACAGAAAAACACAATTTAGTAAAAATAAACCATAATTTCAGAAAAAAATAAAACACATTTCACAGGGCCTTAATATTGTGATTTTGGTTCAACTTTGAGGGAATTTGGAGGGGAAATAAATCATATATAAAAAAATTAAATATATAAAAATAATCCCACATTTAATATAAATGTTTTTTGTATTTTTATTTAAATATTTTAAGAAAAAAAATTATAAATATTATGCCAGACTATAAAAACAATTAAAATAATAATTATAATATATAAAAGTGTGTGTGTGTACCTGGTATTTATCACGTCATGGGGACCAAATGTCCCCACAAGGATAGTAATACTAGTACATTTTTACCTTGTGGGGACATTTTTGAGGTCCCCATGAGGAAACAAGCTTTATAAATCATACAGAATTAGTTTTTTTGAGAATGTAAAAATGCACAAAGAGGGGTAGGTTTAGGGGTAGGGTTGGTGTAGGGCAATAGCACATACCGTTTGTACAGTATAAAAACCATTCCGCCTATGGAATGTCCCCATAAAACATGGAAACGCAACGTGTGTGTGATTTTAAGAATGTTTTTAAGAACGTTTTGTAATTCATTCATTTTGTAATGTTACGCCACACTACATAACACTCAGCGTTTTAATGAGACTTGTTTCTCCACGATGTCAGGAAACTAGCGATTTCAATTCAGAAATTTTAACCTGGTTGTCAGTCCTGGTTAATTCCAGTCGTTGTATGTATGAAATGCATTTTTAATGTTTTGAAAAGAAATTAATTTATCTGGGAACAAAAAGTTCATGCCATGTCAAAGCGACCAAAAAAACCCACTCATGCCTCAGTGATGTCATCAGGTATGTCTTGGGCTTTTATATGCACATTTCTCTCTGTCTCTGTTTGTAGGAGATAATGGATCGGATCTACAAGAATGTGATGCTGAAAGTGGAGGAAATGAGTGTTTTTCAGAGGACTCTTTTTCTGTTGGCCTACAACTATAAGATGGAGCAGCTTGCGATGGGATACAGCACACCGCTGTGTGACAAGTGCGTCTCACACACACACACGTAATTTGAGTTGAATTACTGAAATAAATGAACTTTTCCACGACATTCTAATTTATTGAGATGCACCTGTACACACTCCATCCCCAGTGTTAGAGAAGCTTCTTTTGCCAATTACAAGCTGCTCATAAGTTAAGTACAGTAAAGCTATTGTTTCAAACTTGAACACATGGATTTAGATTTATATAAGCCTAATATAATGAAAAACATGTACCTTGTATAATTTAATCAGCAGTATGTAGCTAAATATTTATTTCACTATTCTTGGAGTCAAATATTTGAACTGGTTCATTGAAATATCCAAAAAACAACCTGCCAAAATCAATTAGTGTTCTCAATGCTACTCGAAAGAAAGAAGACATTCTAGGAACAGATCATTTGATTATAATTGAATTATCATTGAATAGCATTGCTAATTTTAGTAACTCCTCAACACTGGTTCTCACAGTCCCAACTCTTCATTCTCCTTCTCTCTCCAGACTGGTCTTCCAGAAGGTTCGGGCGTTGTTAGGTGGCCGTTTGCGGGTGTTATTGTCAGGCGGAGCACCTCTGTCTGCCACAACCCAGCGGTTCATGAACATCTGCTTCTGCTGTCCTGTAGGACAAGGCTATGGCCTCACGGAGACCTGCGGCGCTGGGACCATCAGCCAGCGTGAGATTCACACCCTCATTCAGCATTTCAAATATTATGCACTTTTTCATAATCTAAACTAGCATCCAAAAGTTTGGGGTCTGTAAGAAGAAATTAATATTTTTGTTCATCAAGGATGCATTAAACTGATCAAGTGACAGTGAAGACATTTATAATCTTACAAAAGATTTATTTTGAATTTTCTATTCATCAAAGAGTCTTTCACAAAAATATGAAGCAGCACAACTGTTTTTAATATTGATAATAATCACAGATGTTTCTTGAGCAGCAAATCAGCCAGGCTGGAGTGATGATGCTGCTGAAAATTTAGATTTGCATCACATGAATAAATTACATTTGACAATTTATTCTCATAGAAAACAGTAAAAGATTATTACAATTTAAATAAGTCTGCTTGGTGAGCAGAAGAGGCTTCTTTACAAAACTTTTGAACAGTAGTGTATCCAAATGGTAATTCTTTGATCTAGGCAGATATCTTTTTTTAAACAATGGGAAAGTAGTTTATTTTGTTGTTTTGTGTTGCTTCATAAAAGTTTGTTGCAAAAATTGTGTTTTTGGGGGATGCATTAAACTGATCAAGTGACAGTGAAGACATTTATAATCTTACAAAAGATTTATTTTGAATTTTCTATTCATCAAAGAGTCTTTCACAAAAATATGAAGCAGCACAACTGTTTTTAATATTGATAATAATCACAGATGTTTCTTGAGCAGCAAATCAGCCAGGCTGGAGTGATGATGCTGCTGAAAATTTAGATTTGCATCACATGAATAAATTACATTTGACAATTTATTCTCATAGAAAACAGTAAAAGATTATTACAATTTAAATAAGTCTGCTTGGTGAGCAGAAGAGGCTTCTTTACAAAACTTTTGAACAGTAGTGTATCCAAATGGTAATTCTTTGATATAGGCAGATATCTTTTTTAAACAATGGGAAAGTAGTTTATTTTGTTGTTTTGTGTTGCTTCATAAAAGTTTGTTGCAAAAATTGTGTTTTTGGTGCATTTTCACTCTATGAACAGTTTGTAAATAGAACAGGTGTTAAAAGCACACAATCATGGATATTAAAATGCACACACGTGAAAAATACACTCCCATACACCATCGCTCATATAAAGCTCACATTTTACAATGCAAGCGAGCAAAACTATATTGTTCTGTTCTAATCAATAAAACTGGGTGGAAAATGATCATGCAAACTAAATTAGTTTTTTGGTGCAAAGAAAAACCTGTGGACCTGAGAGTCCAAACAAATCATGATATGACCGCTTTAATATGCAAACCGATTATACATATTTAAAATAATTGTTAATGAGAAAATTATATTAACAAATGTCCAGGCAAATGAAACTAGGTCACGAACTCAATGTCCTGATCCTCAGTAGCCACAGAAGAAACATTAACATGAACATTTGTGGAGGACAGCTGCCTTGTAAAATGATTGAGGTTTGTGTTCTCAGAGGAATCAGTGGTGGAACAGTGCGAACAGATGGTGACTCCTGAAATATGACTTTTTTTTTAAAGAAGAAATAAAACATTTTCTGCTATGGAAATAATTACATAACTGTGCCCTTACAGCCAGTAGATAGACTTATTGTCTGCGTGCGTGTGTTTGTGTGTGCGTGCGCGTGTGCATGTGTGTGTGTAGTTTGGGATTACAGTACAGGACGAGTTGGCGCTCCGCTGGTTTGCTGTGAAATTCAGCTGAAGGACTGGATAGAGGGTGAGTGTGATACACACATATATCTGCTCTTATAAAAACACTGTCATGGACGTTTACCTATTCATCAGGCGATATGTCTGGAGGTTTGCTACGCAGAGAGAAAGATCAGCAAAACAAAAGAGAAGGAAGTGGAAAAAAGCATTAAAGGTAGTTTGTGACCTTTTAAGGAAGACACTTTGAGATTAAGTATTCCTCTCCTATTTCTGGAGAGATCAGCTTTGTTCTGTACATGATACACAGTAACTAAATGTCTATTTGAAAACGCATTAAATTATTATCCACAGCTCTCATTACAAAGAAAAGTCCCAAACATTATATAATGGTATTATTATAAAACCATTAGAATGAGAGGCCATGTGTCACGTAATCTCCAAAGCATCATTGTAAGCAAGTGGAGACTATCTATCTATATATACATCTATCTATCTATATATATATATATATACTGTTAACTAATATTTGCCAGCTACTAACTGTTAGCTAAGATATCCATTAGCAGAACTGCCCTTGTGAAAAAGTTTTAAAAAAAAACTTATTACAGAAATAATATACTTAAAGGGAATATATTTATACTTACTGAATCTTACTGTTTTCAGAATCTAAATGAACGTATCGTATTATAAAAAATATATTATAGTTGAAATGTATACATGATGCAATTAGCTGAAGTAGTACTTAAATACATATTTATATGTAATTACATTATTTTTTTAAATATATTGTTAAAGTGTACTGCTGGATGCACTGGCAAACATTTATGGTATACTAAAATCTAAAGTATTATATATTGAATTATTATATGTTAATTGTATTGTATATGTTTTTAAATATTGAATTATATAGTGAAACTTGTATGTCATGTATTTAAATATATTTATAATGAAACATCTGTAATGATTAGGTTGCAATTTAATACATTTATTTATATATACAGTGTATATATATATACTGTATACTATATTCTTTCAAGGTTTGAAGTACACCATAAGAGCGCATTCAATACAATTAAGCACATTCGTTTCACACTAGTATAATGAAACATCTGTAATGATTAGGTTGCAATTTAATACATTTATTTATATATACAGTGTATATATATATATATATATATATACTGTATACTATATTCTTTCAAGGTTTGAAGTACACCATAAGAGCGCATTCAATACAATTAAGCACATTCGTTTCACACTAGTCTATACACATTTTCTGCTAATTTTTAGTCTTTCAACCACCACTGTTCATGGAAACCGCCCTAAAACTGTGATTGGTCCCTTTACATGTCAATCAGATCTCTTCCTGTCTAAATAAGCAGTTCTTGGCCAGAAGCTGCCATGTGGACCAAATCATATGTCCTTATGACAAAGGTTTGACTATACAAGACTAAAATAACACTGACTTATGGCTTAATAACCTCCGGGTTTACAGAACCCTACTGTTGCGCTTTATACAGTTTAAACCATTTCCTGTCTCTCTTTTTGTGTCTTAATGCAATCTGTGTGTATCTAGGTGGATATCACAGCACGGACTGGCCTTGTCCGCGAGGGGAGATTCTGGTCGGTGGGCCCAACGTAACAATGGGTTACTACAAGAACAAACAGAAGAACAGTGAGGACTTCTTCATGGATAAGAAAGGCCAGCAGTGGTTCTGCACCGGAGACATTGGCGAGTTTCATGGAGACGGCTGTCTGAAGATTATCGGTGAGAGAGATTGGCCAGAACATTGTAAAGATAGCACGTTTTGGCAGGAGCAAGCGAATGGAAGTCCCCTCTCCTTTACGATAAAACGTGTTAGTCCTGTACTTCCTGTAAATGACGCATCTCGCTGTCAACTTATTTCCGTAAGGGCAGCGATAAGAACTCAAAGAAAGCAGGATACACTCCAAAAGGGAGAGAAAGAGAAACTTCCTGTAGCACAACCTCACATACACATCTGATGAAATATGGTTAATATTTGCATATGTGTGTGTATGTGTTTGCATGTTAGACCGTAAGAAAGACCTGGTGAAGCTTCAAGCGGGAGAATACGTGTCTCTGGGAAAAGTGGAGGCCGTTTTGAAAAACTGCCCACTTGTTGACAACATCTGTGCCTATGCCAACAGGTGCCGACACAAAGCACAACCTGTACTGCACTAACAAAAAGACCCTCAACATATGTTACACTACTAACAAATGACATAATATGTTATCAAAATCCCTTCTATATTTCACACACAACAGCTTTAATGTTACCCAAATTCACTCGGTTGATATCTAAAGCTCTTTATTCTATATCCTAGAAAGCATTTTGTTCGGATGTCAACAGCTGCAATTATATAGCAGGGTCACCAAATCTGTTGCCCCTCTAACTTCTATATGTCATAACTGTGCAGTGCTTTAATTAGGGTGGAAAAATGTAAACAAATTTCTGCTGTGGTCTAGTGACCTATGATTAAATTTTGGATGACAGTGAGTCTATCGATAGAGATTTTGCTATATTGACATGTATTAAATATAATTTTCATATAAGAATTTATATTAAAATCTTAAACTTTCAAAAACATTTTAATAAAATATATTGTTATATTTTTAAATATATGTGACCCTGGACCACAAAACCAGTCATAAGTGTCAATTTCACTAAGTGTCAATAATCTAAAAGCTGAATAAATAAGCTTTCCGTTGATGTATGGTTTGTTAGGATAGGACAATATTTGGCTGAGATACAACTATTTGAAAATCTGGAATCTGAGGGTGCAAAAAAATCTAAATATTGAGAAAATCGCCTTTAAAGTTGTCCAAATGAAGTTCTTAGCAATGCATATTACAAATCAAAAATTAAGTTAATACATTTACAGTAGGGAATTTACAAAATATCTTCATGGAACATGATCTTTACTTAATATCCTAATGATTTTTGGCATAAAAGAAAAATCAATAATTTTGGCCCATACAATGTTTTTTGGGCTATTGCTACAAATATACCCCAGCGACTTAAGACTGCTTTTGTGCTCCAGGGTCACATATAAAAAAATCTTAAACAGCTCAAAAGCATTTTTAAATATAAAAGTATTTATTGTTATATTTAAAAAAAATGTGTAATAACAAAAAAAAAACATTTTATAAAAATACTTTATATATTAACTCATAATAAAATACATTATAATATAAATATATTATTATAACAAATAAATTATTAGAATAAAACAACAAACATTTGAAATGAAAATATGAAGAAAAAAATATGAATCACTGCTCTTAACTGAATAATTTTAGTGGAATTAATAAGAATCAATGTTTATTTAATTAATGCATCAAAAACTATGTAGTGTTTTATACTGTTAATTTCTTTTGTGTCTTATTTGTATTGTATTTGTTTATTTGCTTTTTTTATTTTTTATTTTTAAATCGCAAAGATAAAATAAAATGTCATGATTTATATCGTTATCCTGAAATAAAATACTCATGTCATGAAATAAAAATTTGGTCATATCATCCACCCCTAACACGACACATTTGTAATCAACTCTGCTGAATACACCCACAAATAATTTTAGTCCAACCTCTTCCTGTTTTCCAGTGATGAGTCTTATGCGATTGGCTTTGTGGTGCCCAATCAGAAGCAGCTTCGGGCACTGGCTGAGAGGAAGTGTGTCAGAGGTTTGTGGGAGGAGCTCTGTAACAACCCCGTCATCGAGGAGGAGGTGCTTAAAGTCATCACAGAAACAGCACTGACAGGTGAAACACAGTTTGGATTAGCGTACTATCATACTACTCAAACTATTTCTGCTGTATCTACAGGGTTTCTGCAGGTCCTAACACATATTAATTCATCCTTCCACAAATTAAGACCGTAAAAAGATCTTAAAGCAAGGCACATTCTTAAATTCATAAAGTTATAGCATTAAATCTTGCATGTATGGCAGAAAAAGAATATTTTCCTCAGAATTTTTGTCTTGTTTTCCAATACAAATACCTAAACACTTTTAATTCAAGATACATTCACTTGTGATGCAAAATTAAGATATGAAGTATTCATTTTGCATCTCAAGAAATTGAACAAAATGAAGTGAATTTATTCTTAAACGACAGCAAATATCTGTCAGATATTTGCCAATGGGCTCAGGGAAAGTTTTCTGAGCCCATTGGCATATGTTTGTTCTTTCTAATCATAAACTCACTTCATTTTGATCAGTTTCTGAGAAAACAAGACTTCTTACCATTATGTAATTTTGCTTCTCAAGTAAATGTATCTTAATTTAAGAATCTTTAGACATTTACACTGGAAAACAAACACTTTTTGCAGCGTAATCAGAAGTGCAGTAAAAGTTATATCCATAGTTTAGTGTTTGGGAGCAGAGCTATTCAAGCCTTAAGATAATTATTTATTTACTGTACTTATTTTTAATTAAAAAGTAGCAGATTTGTTGGAAGTTGTATTTTTAAACTTTGAAGTGTTGCTAATACAACTCCCTAGAGACATTTACATTTAGATAACATATTGACATACTGTTTTCTTTTTGGTTTATTAGTTGGTTTATTATTTAATCGTTTAAGCTAGAAATGTTACTTGTATTCCTATGGAAGAAAGTTTATATCATGCACATTTGTTCTGCTTCCTACTCTTGAGTTTAGTTGATTCATTTCCTGTTCCTGTGTATTTAACAGCCCAATTAGAAAGATTCGAGATCCCACGGAAGATCCGGCTGAGCGTTGAGCCCTGGACCCCAGAGACCGGCCTGGTTACAGACGCTTTTAAACTCAAACGAAAGGAGCTAAAATCTCACTACCAGAACGACATTGAGAGGATGTATGGTGCCAAATAGAGCCAAACCACTGCTGATTCGACAAAACCACTAGACAGGCAAGAAAATGTACTTATCTCACTATAGCAACCTCCAATCAGGATGGAGATTTCCAATGGACGTTACAGACATGAACATAATCGTTTGGAAATGTTTTCATACAGTGTGATGACCAACAATCACAACCAGCAGTACTTAAAATTGCCAAGAGTGATGTTAGCCATGCTAACTTCTGCCAGACTTAGCTGCTAAATTAAAGCTGTTAAATCCCTTCCAAATACACACATGCTCTCCAAAACCCTGCAATGTCAACAAATCAGAAGTGAAATAACTGAAAAGCAAAAAGGTTCAGTGCTGTTACATGCATCCAAATAATCCAATAATAATGGCTCAATCAGACTGAAAACCTTCATGTAAACACCTCGATTGAGCCGACTGAGCTTGATCCAAATAACATTTCGATCAGATTGAAATAGGTGGTGTAGACCTAAAAAAAATCTGTTAAATCGGAAAAAATTCAGATGATCAGATTCAAAAATAGCTTGCACATTTGTGCAATGCAGAGAAGTGTTTTACGTCATACAAACGTGTTTATTCATGTGTCACATTTAATGAACTGGTCAGTTGAGGAGACAGAATATGTGCTAACAATATTTGCTAAAAAACAGTTCTAACATGTCAGTTTTTGTTTTAGAAATCAAGGCAAAAACTGCAATTATGCTTGCTGCACAAAAGATTAGTGCATGTAAACATACTTAATGTGATTTCTCAGGACATTTTTATGCATGTTATTCCCCAAAAAAGCTTTATCATGGCTTTAAATCTCCAAAAGTCAGTTTCACAGTAGGTCAATCTCGCTCTGTGTCGCACTTAACTGTCCCAGTTCTTGTTGATCCCCATACACAAACGATGCATTATGGGATGTTTTTCTAATCTTACATTCTCATTGAAACCTTCAGGTTCAAACAAATACAACTCGTAGATATCTTTAATGAAACTCTTCCAGCATCAGTTTACATCAGCAATGTTCTCTCCAAACACATCTGGAATACTAAAACCATTATCTTTTTTTCAATCTTTCCGTAACCTTCTTTTAATACTGTCAGAAGGAGACCAATGATCTAGAAAAATCTAATATATTTAAGCTTAATTTATTGTTGCAATAATTAGCTTTATTTAAATATAAGAACTTGCTTAGTGGAGAGTATGAAATCCCCAAAGCATTTCTGCTCATTGGATGATTCCGATTGATGTTCCAGGACTGGAATGTTCCTATTGGGTGACTGTATAATTATACTAATATAAACCATTCAAACAGTTCCATTTAACTTTTTGACATGATTTCGCTCATTTCAGGGAGGTTTTCCACTCTTTGTCTATAGACAAACTGACATTGTCAGTTGAGCAAGTTGAACTGTTTCATTTAGAAATAAAGAAGAGACCAGATAAGGCTTGATGCAAATGGAGGTGTAAATTCTTAAGATCAGGGAATCAAGGTTTGGCTGGTTAGCTTAACTAACTAGTCTGTGTTTTTGGTCAAATAGGCAAAATGTATACTCAGTTGAAGGCCATTCAAAATCTATGGAAGCCGTTTCCACCACTGAATAAAAAAAACAAACAAGGTAATTGCGACTTTTTTCTCTCACAATTCTGACTTTTTTTTTTCTCTCACAATTACAGAATTGTGTGATACAAACTCGCAATTCTGACTTTTCTCAGATTTGTGAGACATAAACTTGCAATTGCAAGTTATAAAGTCAAAATTGTAAGATATATATATATATAAACTCTCAATTCTGACTTTTTACTCACAACTGCAAGTTATACAATCCAATTCTGAGGAGAAAAAAAGACAATTTTCTTACAATTGTTCCAACTCTCATGAGTTTATATCTTGCAATTCTGACTTTATTTCTCAGAATTGCAAGTTTATATCACACAATTCTGAGATAAAAGTCATAATTACGATCTTTATTTTTTTATTCCATAAAAAACAGCCATGTATTCTGAAATAAACAGAATATAAAATGACAAAAAAATTCAGTGTATTGTATTAGATGTTCTATCTTTTTGGCAGGCTTTTAACAATGGGGAAAAATATCTATTTTTCTCTCTCTTCTGCAGAGAGCACTAATATAGTGATCAGTCAGGTGGCATTTATGGCTCAAAAATACTGCTTCAGAACAAAGTGTGCATGAAGTAAAAATAGAGTTGAATATAGATGGAGTTGAATTAGACTTGCTTGTTTTTTATTCATAGCTGATCTCTGATCAATAAAAGCGCTCCCTGCCCCTCTCTTTTTCTTTCCTCTCTGTTTGTTAAATGAACTCACTATGATCCCTGTGGAAGCGGCAGTCATAAACTCTGTTCTCGTTGTTTATTTCTCTCACGCTCTCTCTCCTCTCAACATTATTACTTTGTCCTTTTGGTCCTACGCTGTTTGGTGCCCCTGATAATAGCCTGTTTTGAACTAAAATGAAATCATACATTGCTATATCAGGCCATAAGTTATTCATTTATTTTGTCATTTGCCTTGAAATTGATCCTGTGAAGTTGAGATAATGGAATAAAGGGCTTTCCTGTGCAAAACTCAACTTTGTGGGTTATTCCTATGAAGTACATGTCCCAAACAACATCTATGTCTTATGAATAAACTCAGTTTTTAAAGATCACTATTAAGTAAACAGAGTAAGTTATTAATTATTTTTGTTTAAATGCATGTTGCCATTTTTTGTGTTCATGATTTTTTTTTTCTTTTAAAAATTGAAATATTGCATATTCACTTGTGCATATTATTTTAACTGGTAATCGATTTTATCTACACTTTCCATTTTATTGGTCTTTTGTGAAATCCCCTTAACAAACAAAAGGCAGTTTCCCTAAGGACATCATTTTGGTTGGCAAACAGCAGCACAAACGTCAGTAAGTATTAGCTATGGATTTGAATAAGTATGTGTCACTCTAAAACATTCAAAATCAACTACAGGTTAAAAAGTGTTAAAGTTTTAAAGAAAGACCTCAATCCTTCACTGAGCAATGACTAACTTTAGCTCCATTGTGTAAATACTAGAATGAATAAAGTCGAAGTGTCTGATCTTGACCAGAGCATATATCTGATGGTCCGCTATACCCTTTTATAGAATACAGCTGTGGAGTACAACAGTCCCTATAGTGATTGTAAAACGTCCATGTAACTGAAGGAGCGTTATACTACTGATGGTTTTCCTCCGATTCACCTTATAATGCGTTTGAGTCTGTAATGTGTTCTCAGAAAGGGAACTGACCCAGAACTGCTGATTTGATCAGATTTTCATGTGCTTTGCGTCAGTTCTCTGTTACTCGATCCTAATTGGCAGGTGTGGTCAGGCATTGGTTTGCACATTCTGGCTCCAGTTTTCCACAGTCATGCCACACCTACCCATCATGCATCACTGCCAGACAGATGAGGTTGGCATAGATTCTAACATGCTTTCACTGCCGACGTAAATCAGACCAGAAGACCCTTGAAAACTACGTCAGTGGGGTTGTAAGGTACAGCTTAACTTTGCTTATTCAAACGCATGGCATTAGTCCCACTGTACATTTGATTAATAATGTTATCTTTTATTTTAAATGTTTCCAGTTTATATATTTTTTAAATGCTTCATTATTTAGGCTACCTCACGATGTTTCATTGTTGTTGCAAATTGATTGCTACTCACATAAAGCTATCGCCTTAATTTGTGATGCTGATGCAAGTTATTTTCCTTGAATGTGTGAGACTTTCGATTGAATAGCTGCTATATAAATTACTAGAAGAAAGAATAAAGTGCAGTAAACTATTTGTTCTATAAACCAGTGTTTATGATTATGATAATGAATTAAAATATAGTAACAAATACCAATAGCAAACAGCATAACGGTCTGTTATTGTACAGCTAAAATAACTGGAAGCAAATGAGACCGGAAGTCTCGCACATTCAATTTACAAATGGCCGCACGTGCCATTAGCCTGGTTGTGGCTAAAAGGGATACAGCTAACAAGTTCAATTTTATACTATTAGATTATGTTTTATTAACATCTACACCTACCCCAACCCTAAACCTACCTCTTACAATAATGCAAAAACAGTAATTATTGTTGTACAGTGTGACAAAAAATTATACTATTGATGTGGGCATGCCCAGTATTTGAATCTGTATACCATCTAGCCTTAACCAATTAGCCCATGTTAAAAATAAAGTGTAAAGCATCACATGGACTATTTTAAATATACTTTTTGTATGCTTTTTTTTTTATTTTTTTTTTTAACTAGACCGCTTTAGAATAAAATCAAGTTCAGGTTTTGGAGCAACATGACCATTCCAACGGTTTTTGAAAGCTGTCCTGCTGGCTTTCCTAAAGCAAGCCTGTCTGGTTATGTTATGATAGATGAGCACATTTGGCAGCACTGCGCACTTGGACTCCATTAAACGTCATAAGAATGTGGCTGTGAGCTCGAGCGTCTCTGGCCGGGACTCAACTCCTGTGAGGAAGCACGTGAGGATCCCCACTCCCTCAGCCTCGGTCACAGATCCTCCTGGCGCGTGGCCACGCATGGGATCCGCTATTTAAACCGGACTCAGCTGACAGCCCCGTTACAAGCCAGAGAGACTCGAAGAAAAGCGAGGAACGGGCCGACGCGCTCCAGGGTGAAACATCCCGGTGAGTATAACTAACTTTAATGTAAACTCTTATATAGTCAATATTATAAACACATTTAATGCTTAAAATGTGCACTTTTTAAACATAAATAGGCCTACGCCTTTTTAAATCATGTCTAAATATTGGAGTGATGTTATTATAAAGCGATTTTTTTTTTACTTTGTTAGTTAGTCCCTCTGTTTTTTCTAAAATGTTAAACCCGGTTGTGATGCAGTCTCCAAAATTATTGTTCGTCAAAGATTTTTTTTTAATTCACCATTTGGGTTGTTTCTGATCCAGTTTTAGTCATAACCTTTTTTAACAGTGGTTTATTTTTTTTTTATTTCTTCGTTATTATTATTAGGCCTATTTTATTTTTATTTATTCCTGAATCACCTCATTATTTTTATTATGGCTATTTATTATTATTATTATTATTAGTCTATTGTCATTACTACTTGTAGCCTACATCATTGAAAGGACTACGTTAACTTTCTCTCTCTCTCTGTAATTTGACAGATAACCGTTTCGTTCGTAGTAATGGAGTTGGCGCGCAACGCCTCCGCGCTTTCGTCGCAGCAGACCAACCGAATCGCCTTGCCCGGTGGAAGCGACAGTAACGCGTATTTGTACATCCTCATCGTCGTGTCTTTCTACGGAGTCTTCCTCACCGGGATCATGCTCGGTTACCTGCGCACCAAACGGCGCGAGAAGAGGCGCACGAACGCCTTCACGCGGCTTCTGCACGAGGAGGAGCAGCGTGAGTGGGGCGCGAGCCAGAAGAAGCACAGCTTCAGCCTCCCCGCGTTTCCCGCCCTGCGCTCCACGCCGGTGCCGTTCATGCGGGAACCGGGAACCGGCGGCATGGTTCTCGCGCCTCTGGCGTGCGCGCTGTGCTCGGTGGAGCAGAGCAGCGTGAGCTCCCTCAGCTCCGTCGCCGATGTGCGCTTCGCCATTGAAGAGGAGTCTGACAGCGGCGGACACAGTGACGGACCGTCCCGGGAAAACGCTCTGAGGTTCCCGCTGCAAACCGTTACTATGCCGTTTACTATGGCAACCATAGTTCCCGCCGAAAAGCAATGATTAGCCTACCACAGTTAATGTTACTGCAAATAAAACTGTTTTAAGTTGGTACTAGCCACCGTTGCAATAAAAAATGAATTAAAGAAAGTTTCTGAAAGGCCCTTGTACTGTTTTAAGAAAATCCTGTGTTAATTTATTGAGGTTTTACTGTTGTAAATAACTGTAGTAACTTGGCGGGAACTGTGGTTCACGTGATGAAAGTTCTCCGAAGTGCCTTGATGGAAAGCATGAACTCTTATGCCAGAAACAGATTTCTACGCAAGCACATATCTTGTGATTATAAATTGGATTTGACACGTCTTGGAATAGACTACAATGACGCACGAAATTCAAATTGTGTCACTAGAAGTGTATTTCCTCGCATACTTGTGTGAAGTATGTTTCAGGCCTTAAGCGCGATGTAAACATTGAGATAAACCTGGAAGTCACTTGAAAAAAACAACTTTTAAAATTAAATTTACTTTAAAGGCCTATATCATTCACACAGATGTGTAAATGATTTTTTTTAATGATCTGTATATATTGTTCTACGTGCATGGATATGTCTATTTAAATTGTACCTTATTTTATGTGTAAACTAAATAAAATGTTCCTTCAGAATGTGAAGGTTTTGTGGCCGTCATGTTTGCACTTACCGTTTATAGTCACTTGGGGGAGTCAAAGACCACCGGGGCTTCTCTGGGGAAGTTTTCTCACAGATGAGGGTTTTTGAAGCTTTATACACCTATAGTAGGAACTATATGTAAAACGGATTTTCTTAGTAACATTTTAAGACATAAGCATTCATAAATGTAATTAAATGTTTCAAAGAAAATCATTTTGGATATTTCCAGATGCAATTAGACATTCGGAACCCCTTTGCAGATGAGAAAAGATTATGAGAGGCTCTTGGCGTCATTGTAGAGATAAAGATCTTTCAAGCGTCCACTCCTGAAACAGTTTTCATTCTATTATTCCCCTTGAGAATAGGCTAGATATTCAATCAGGGACAAAGGGGTTTCTCTATATTTCATGATTTTGTGCTTCTACACAGATCTGCATGATTATAACTAGAATCCTTCATAATCAGCATCCTCACAGTCTTTGTTATCCTAATGAAATGACATGACATGCACAAGTGTCAGTGACCCGTCTTCCGCCCCAGGGAGTGCAGTGGAAAGTTCTCGCATGTTCCGTCTGAGTGGCTCGTTTCCAATAAAAATGTACTCGGTTCATCTGATGCGAGTTGAATGCAGTATTAGGAAAGTTTTTGAAGTAAAATATTCAGCTTTTGACACCGATATCACCTCAAAAGACAGATGACCTGTTGGTCTTCCTGCTTTTTAAAGTGAGGAGTAAAAAGTGAAACCCAACTGTTGCTGTGGTGAACTTGAAAAACATTTCATTGTTTTTTTTGAGTTACATAAAACACAATGATACATAATGAATAAAACTTCCGAACAAAACACTGCATGTGAATAATTTACTGAATCATTTTTGCCTTATCAAAGATCATGAATAATAAACCATGTCATGAAAATCAGATTTGATCTAAAGTCAAAATACAAACAGCACGCTTACACGTGCGGTCACTTCCAGCTGTCTGTTTATGGCCCAACCTTATGCTCCCTCCCAGATAGATTAATTTTGATTAAATGATTGCGACTGCGTGAAAGACAGTACGAGGGAGTCAGAAGAGAGGCTAGTGTGACTCATTCTCCCAACGGAGGAAATGAAATGCACATCCTCCCTCTCTATGCTTCTCTTCTGTGGCTCTGTTACATCTATGGCATGAATGGAGGGTTCAGAATCAGTTTTATTGTTTCTGTGCTACAGTAACTGTTGTATTGTTAACAGGACAGCGGTTACTGACCCCGGGAACAGCTCTTTAATCATCCAGCATTTTCTCTAACACAGTGGTTCTCAAACCTCTCCATGAAGTACCCCCAGCACTGCACATTTTGTATGTCTCCCTATGTCTGACACACCCACACTTCAGGTCTTGCAGTCTCCACTAATGAGCTGATGAGCTGAATTAGGTGTGATAGATGAGGGAGACATACAAAATGTGCAGGGCTGGGGGAACTTCAGGACAGGTTGAGAACCACTGCTCCAACAGTATGTTCTGGCTCTGCATACAATGAAGTAGCTAAAGGGAAGCTGTCAATCACAGCAAAGGGCATAAGTAGTTCATTGGCACTGTATTCCAATTCTTCTAAATTCATGATAGCGTTGTGGAACAAACTGAAAAATTATTTAGCCTACTGAAAATTCACATAAGCAGCTTTTAAAACTTCAGTCTCGATCAGTCGGCTATGCAAATGTGAATTAATCGGACAGGAAGATTAATCTGTGAAAAGCAAAGTGTTGTAAGTGTTCCTAGAACAATATCTTCTGATTTCAGAGGACTTGAAAGTGTGCGAATCCCATCATGCATGTCAGGGCTAGTCCTGGAGGGCCAGTTATCTGCATAGTTTACTTCCAACCCTTATCCAGCACACCTGTTCATCATTTTTAAATAGTCCTGAATACTTTGATTAGCTTGGTCAGGTGTGTTTAATTAGGGGTGGAACTAAACTCTGCAGGACACCGGCCCTCCAGGAGCCGAGTTGAAGAGCCCTGATGTATGTTATTGTGCAAACCTGTTTCATTTGAGGGACTTGAACACGAATGTTTAGCCCACATGTTAACAGTACAATTCTACAAATTATCTCAGATCTCTTTAAAGCGAACCAAAACTGTGGTGGTCTGATGGTTTCTTACAACATGCTTTGCGAACACGAGTGCTTGGGGCCCGTTCAGGGACGCGGGAAGTACGGGTGCTGAGGGGGCTGCAGCACCCCGTTTTCACATGGTTGCAAATGCAACGCCAGGTTTGTTCATTTAAATGTATTCAGTTTTAGCATTTAATAATTTATTTGTTATGAATATTTGGGTTGAAGTGTTCTGGAACAGTGTTGTAAATACAACTTAACCACTGATTTCTAGTCTTGTCCATTTTTGGAAAGCCAAACAAAGTAGTTTAGCTTTCACAACGAAACACGGCGTCACGCACGGCAGCCTAGAGTGAGGAACGGCCGGAGGGCTTGAGAACAGCGCGGCCGGCGGATTCGACGAAGGGGCGTCCGGAGGGCTTGTGGCAACCACTACATTTGAAAGACAAATATTGTACTTTTCCCTCCACTGCATTTCTATGAAGGTCCTCGAAGTAGTAAGTCTTTAGTAAAGACTCTTTACTATGTAGCAGCTTTGATTTTTTTTGTGACATCAAAGTACCGCAAGAGCGATTAGAGAGCGTTTTTAAAATGTTTGTTTTGATGGCACATAAGTCTGTTGCTGTTTTGCTTTTTTGTTAAAGCAGTGTTGCTGTTGTAAAGTTATACAGCTACAGTTGTGCTGCTGTTGTAAAGTTATACAGCTACAGTTGTGCTGCTGTTGTAAAGTTATACAGCTACAGTTGTGCTGCTGTTGTAAAGTTATACAGCTACAGTTGTGCTGCTGTTGTAAAGTTATACAGCTACAGTTGTGCTGCTGTTGTAAAGTTATACAGCTACAGTTGTGCTGCTGTTGTAAAGTTATACAGCTACAGTTGTGCTGCTGTTGTAAAGTTATACAGCTACAGTTGTGCTGCTGTTGTAAAGTTATACAGCTACAGTTGTGCTGCTGTTGTAAAGTTATACAGCTACAGTTGTGCTGCTGTTGTAAAGTTATACAGCTACAGTTGTGCTGCTGTTGTAAAGTTATACAGCTACAGTTGTGCTGCTGTTGTAAAGTTATACAGCTACAGTTGTGCTGCTGTTGTAAAGTTATACAGCTACAGTTGTGTTGCTGTTGTAAAGTTACACAGCTATAGTTGTGTTGCTGTTGTAAAGTTATACCGCTCGGACAGTTATACAGCTACAGTTGTGTTGCTGTTGTAAAGTTATACAGCTACAGTTGTGTTGCTGGGTTTTAAAGCAGGTTTGATTTTTTTCTTCTTGAACAGCTATTCAGTCAACATCTGAGCGACTTACTGAACTCTAAAAGTTATATTTTTTCAATAATTAACATTTTCAATATGTCTGTATTGAATTGAAGTGAGCTTTGCCCTTATCACGTGTCATTAATTTTTTGCAGCTCACCAGAAATGTCCCCATTTACTGTCATTGTATAAAATGTAAACATTTTGTCCAATATCTTTTTTGTGGTCCATGAAAAAGCACAAGGAAATTATTTGTATTTTGGGTTTAATTGCTGGGTTAGTTCACATACTGCCATAGACATGTTTTGGCAGTGCACTTGTGCTCAAAATAAATGGTAAAATAAGTCAATTCTCTCATTCTCTTTCTCTTTGCTCACTGATTTAGTCACGCTGACATTTGAGACTAACATTTACCATGTAAATCCCTAACACAGAAAAACAAATAAAATCCATTCTCTTTACCCCTCTTTTCATTTCTCTCTTTCTCATCTGACCTTTATGACTTTCCAATTAATAGAACATGTATGAGGCTTGCCATGTCTTAAATGGCAACCCAACTTGACTGATTCATATTTAAATATTGGGTAACAATCTGAATAGTCAGATGTAATTAGGAAGATCAAGAGTACCAATAATATTGAACATATTGATAAGATGCACACACTGACCCAAACCATCCTCAGAGGAGTCTGAACACACGCAAATGTTGCATCTCTCTTAGCTCTTAATGAGAGTTTCTATGGCAACAGGTTCCAAAGGGAGTGCTTAATTTACATGTGGCAGTCAGATATCCGGATGGCGGAAGGACATCTGTGTAAGGGGCGTGTTGGTGTGCGAGTGGGTGGATGGGTTCTCCTAAAAAAGCAGTAGTGAAGTCCAAGCAAGCACATAAAGTTAAATGTTAATGTAATTTTGCATGAAATGGTTCAATGGCAAAGACCAAACTGGCCCAGAATATTTAAAGAATTTGAAGAACAGACTCAAGCCTTCTGCTGTAAAACATTACTGCTCAAGTTCCAATTAAAACTACAAAGGGATGTATACTATTGAAGTTCCATAAAGTACTTTTTATTATAATTCTTTAG